GTATTTTAACACACTGAAATCGTCAATCAATTATCGTCAGACCAATATAAGACCCCCCGAAGCAGTGGAGCGCTTTTAAACGGCCGTTAGAAGGAGTTAGGTATTAACGCCGTTGGATACCGACTCAGTGGTCCAGAGGTTAGGTGTTCGCACCCGAAGATCCCGGGTTCGAATCCTGAGAGGTGCGGGAGTCGTGGATGAGCACTGCTGATGACTAGTCCCATACCAGGACTTGACGGCCGTCCAGTGCTTCCAGGTTTCTAATGATGGTTTACCAAGGATTAATTGATGTTTTCAATGTGTAAAAACACTGATCTCCATAACTATAATTGAAAAAATGTAGAATTATATCTGCAATGTTTTCTTGATGACTAAGATTAAATCCATTTCAAACTGTTTTGAAATACAATAATTCAGTCAATTAAAGCAAGCACTTTGATAATGACTAATAGTAGAAATAAGTAATTATTTTCAAATCAATGTTTAATTTAAGTGTCATTTTGCAAGGAAAACTATTTTTGTGTGCAAGTAAGTGGCAATCTGAATGCTATGTTTGCTCTTTTGTCAACGATCCTATCAAGCATCCGTTCATACTTTCATTTATTCAGAATGATTAAGGAGAAATGTTCGACTGTTCACATAAGGATGCTATATACAAATGAATGCAACTGAAATGAAAAGACAAGTAGCTGGGAATTGATTTATCAGTTTAAAAAATATATTGAAACTTATTTCAAAACAATAATAATATATTTTCAGTCAGAGCTTTTTGGAAGTTTGTGTTTTTACACATTTGAAATCATGAATCGATCAGTGTTAGTGTTACGCTTTCATGTAAACACGTCAACTTGATATACTTGAACTAATACGAGTTTACCTAGTTGGAAAAACGAGAGCGAGGATCGAGGATCCGGTGACACGAGATGCTACTCAAATCCGATTATCCCAACAATAATAAGACGTGATATGAAGTAGAACCTGTATTCTACAAGCATCCGGAAAGTACGAGGTCCGAATCCAGAAGAGAATCAGTTTCCCGGACTACGGATCTGGGACCGATCCCTAGTCCTGGTCGTGGTCATAAAATGTTACAAATAATGCGTCTTTATACATGTTGATCGAATAGGAAACAGCATCGAATTCTGTGACATTGACAGTTAAGACGACCAATAAGAAGTAACATTTGAAGTGACATTGATGGTCATGGCAACCAATAGGAAGTAACATTTGAAATGACATTGACAGTCCGGATGACCAATAAGCGACAACATTGAAGTATTTGACTTTGACAGTTAAAACGACCATAATTTTGACCAATAGAAATCGACCAATAGGAATTGACCAATAATTCTCTAAGGATATTGGATGAATATCCTAACACATTAGACACCTGGAAGCACTGGACAGCCGTCAAGTCCTGATATGGGACTCATCAGCAGTGCGCATCCACGACTCCTGAACCTCGCAGGATTCGAACTTCTCCTCAACAATTATTCACGAAAATATAGATTTTACAACAAACACAAAAAAACCTCATTCATTAGATTATAAATTATACTGAATGGTTTTTATAACAAATGTAATGACGTTTAATAGTAAGATAAATTTTCTACTCAGCTTATATCTTTTATAGGTTCAACTGAAATATCGGAGTAGATTACTTACCAGGATTAAAAAAAATCCTACTGTAATCACTAATTTCCCTTGAGTCTAAATTATCAATACCATGTATTTATGAATAGTTCTCAAGCTCTAAACGAATATTCTTCGTATTTAGAGTTATACTTCATACATTTATTCTGTTAAAAAATATTTGATTGAAATCGTGAACTGACCATTGTCGGACATTAGATAATCATTTCTTTCAAGTACAGAACTAATAAGAAGTGCACATTCAGGACCCTGCGAGCATTAAATCGAACCTACGATATTCTGATGAATCGGCAGTCTAGTATTTCCAGGTTTACAATGGTGCTGCAACATTGATCGGTTCATGGTTTCAATCGAATTCAACAATCTTCAAAACCGTTTACCGGAAAAAACACTTCTGTTCTAATTGATACTTATTTAACAGTAATAAATAATTTATTTGAATTATCGGAAATTTACTTTCTGAACTAAAAAAATTTGTAAAATGCATCTTCAATACTTTTACGATAGCTGTTTTTTTTCTAAAAATGTTTATTTCTCTTGGGACTAATACATGAACAGAATTTATTTTAAAAAAAAATAGAAATCCTCTTGATAGCTGAAACATTAATAAGTGTAGCGTTTAGTTCTGTATTCATAAAGAGAGGTGTAATATAATTTGAATACCAAAATGTTTTTTTTCTTTTATCAAAGAAGTAATCAATAACAGGTAACAGTAATAATAATAGTAAGAATGTTAGTAAATTAATCAAGCGGTTAGGTTCATGATATAGGCCATAAAAAACTGTATTAAACATGATGTTTTGGTTTAATTGTATGGTTCACGATAACATCTACCTTAGACAAGTGATGAAATCTTATAGAATAAGATTAAGTAGACAACTTTATAAAGTACACTTGAGTCAGTTTGTTGACAATGAATGAGTGGTATCCTTCATCGGATTTCATTGACTTAAAACTATTTATATCAAGAAATCTGTTGATGCGTCTGCTTATTTGTGCTTTGAATGAATAAATGGTTCTACTTTTACACATAATTTGTCACTTTCTAAATATTGTTTAGTGATGATGGTACAGATTTGGTTAATCTTTAAGTAGGCTAAATAGAAAATGCGATAAATAACTTGGTAAACAGGCATAGAATTCTTTTATATATTTAAAACTAGGAATCAACTCTATTAAGCTTAGGACCGATACACTTATTCACTACAATAATAACTCGAAGTATCAGCAATGGTAAGAATGAACATAAGCGATTTCATCATTTTTTTTCTCCCCAACCAGTTATCTAGAGAGAGTAGTTCAATAGTTTGTCAGGAAACATTTTTAATGCAAACCTCAGATGAGTTAAATTATATTTTTTTCGACTTGAGTAATGCTCAGCTTGCGCGATATTCTCTTTCTATCGATTGATGAATTAGCGTAATATGTAGATGTGGACTTTTAATTCTAGAGCTTTGAAACGTCACTTTTCAACAATGGAGGAACTTAGTTAGTATCTAATCAATCAAGTATTCAAAGCATTCCTGAAATGTTTTAGAACCACCGAGAGTTATATCCTATGGTTAGACTCAGAGTTCTATGTAAAAAAGGTCAAACAGGTTGATTAAGCAATCAGTTGATATTGACTGAGGTGGATGAGACACGCAATACATATTCCTAACTTCTATTTACCTTGAAGTTAAACGTTTTCAGGCTTAAGAGTAGGTTGAAACAAAGCTAATGAACTGTAAATCGAAACGTAGCATTAATCTATGGAGTCATTAACTATTAGACTGTGAAATGTAGGTAAATCCAGAGAACTGCGTTGAGAAACTGGTAGTTATTTTATCCAATAACTCAACAATGAATGCAAGGGCTTAGATATATCTGTCCCTTATTATTCTTCAGATCATAATTTTTAAAATGATCCTATTATGTAATTTTTTATGGATTTATTCTTTCTTCTATAATCGTTACTTTGATCCCAAGTCATTTTACCATTACTGATAATGTTACTACTTCTAGTACTCTAGGGTTTATACCGAGATTTTTATCGATGACGATGTCGCTGCACAAAATTTACAAAGCATCAGTCACCTTGATGAAATTGCAGTGATAGTAAGGTGAACTGATATGCTCGTTAAGTGATATGATTAAAACTACTACGAGTTCACCTTATAATCGGTAAATGGAGCAAAGACAAATGATGCAGTGACAAGATAGGCTATTCTAATCCGATTGCCCCAGCCCCAGCTAACAAAAGCAAGACTTGTTTAGGCAAGAAAGTGTTTTCTACAAACACCCACAAAATACGAGGTCGATAAGTACACAAATCAAGCCTATTTATACAAGGACAGAGAGCCACAAAGTAGCGTTCTAAAGTAATCCATCAACCAATAACAGTCAAGGATTTTTTGAGTGGGAAATGTTAGATTAGGGTCAGCTAAGAGACTTATGCGCGTAAACTCAAAAACTCCGCAATTAGAACCTTTTCCAGGTGAGTTCTGAAGATCTAACGTCCCCAACAAAAAATGAACTTGAATCAATATACTAAAGTTTAGAGTGAGTTTTTTCCAGTATTTGGAAGTTTACCATACTTTACAGTCGTTATCGACTATTTGTTATATAATGAATTCTGATGTAAATAATTCTACACATTTTTGAAACCATGAATCAGTCAATGTTAGACTACCATTAGAAACCTGGAAGCCTGTTGGGTGTAGGCAGTAACTACCAAAGACAAACAGGTGAAGTAGCGCAAAATCCTTAGATCAATCAGAGTAACAATAACACCGTTGAACATCGACCCAGTGGTCCAGAGGTTAGACGTTCGCATGCAATACCGAAGGTCTCAGGTTTGAATCCTGTGAAGTGCAGGAGTCGTGGATGCGCACTACTGATGAGTCCCATACCAGGACTTGACAGCCATCCAGTGCTTCCAGGTTTCTAATGGGAATCTAACAATGGTTGATTGATGATTTCAAAAATGTGTGAAAACACTACTGATCTCCATAATTCTAATTCAAAATATCATAAATCATTCTGTTATATTTCTTTCTAAATTATCATATTATTTATCTGGGCATGAATGACAATTTAGTCTGAAATTGTAGACTGTTAATAGTTGTCTGGAATTAATTACAATAATTTGGTAAGTTAAAAAGAAGAACGAATACTCATTATTCATGTTATTGCCTTTTAAACGTAAAAGCATCAGCACTAGGAGACTGGTAAATTCAACTGATGAAACCCGAACAAGAAAAACCATATATATATATATATATATATATATATATATATATATATATATATATATATATCCAGAATTCTACTATAAGCCAGTGTATAGTTTCATTATAATTTATTTACTGGACTAAATAAAATATTTATAAATATATATTTTTTCTTGTATATACAACAATAAACTCATATTTGTTGAAATCTGAGGGAACACATAGAACAATTCAATGAAAGAAACATTTTGAAAAGAGGAAAGACACAGAATGCAATACATAGTTCATATCTACAAACGCATCAAAAAATAGTTGTTTGTTTAAAAAAATGGCCGACATTGTGAACACCACTTGTGATTGTTCATTTGATCACATCAATTTCAAGAATTAGATTACCTAGTCGTATATTTACTGATTTACTGAATATGATTATTAGTAGTCATTAAAAATGTTGACCAACGTAAACAATTAAACAAATTAAACATGAATAATAATTGTTTATTGATTTGTAATCTTGAACATTGATTCATGGATCGGATCAATCGTTCAATAAATGATAATTTCTCCGGTTTACCATTTGAATGTTTTGATGCTGCGATGAGTGTATTTGGTTTAGTAAGTTTTCGATTGAAACTAGATGTGAATGATGTTGATGATGGTGATGATGATGATGATGATGATGATGAGAGGGTGGTTGATAATAATGCATTGGTCTGTGATGATGAAGATAAAGCCGTTGGAGCTGAAATGAAATTTCAAAAGATATGCAGAAAAATGTGATAAATTTTTGTATCGTACGTTTAAATCAACTTACAAGAAAATTATTAATCTGTTTCATAACTAATCGATTGATTTTGAGTAGTGCATCAGCTGATGTGCGTTAGCGACGAAAATGTTTCTCAATTGTAGGTAGATACTTTTTAGAAGCTTTCTTACCTTTAAATGAGCTATGGGATTCAATGTAAAGTTATGACCGGTGGAATATATATAGAGGTTTAGTGTTCTTACATGTAAATCACATTGAGTGTGATTGCCACATTCTGTGATGAAAGTATGATGACAGATTCATAAAGTGTTGTTCGTTTCAAGATACAACTTTTGTGGTTGAGCACAGATTGAAACAACAGTTCGGCAATGTCTCATTTTCAGCTGTTGAATTTAGATCGTAACAAATCCATTCTCAAATTTAATTCATTTTCACAAACCCATTTGTAACATGAAATAACCAAGTTCATTTCTATGAACATTCATTAAAATTTAAAGGAATAATTTGACAGTAATTAGGCGCCAAGAGAAAGATATGTCAATATAACATCACACAAAGAATTAATAGAAAAGAATGATGTACACCCCATGCTTCAGCAAGCATTCTAAATGTCATGCTAAAATTATATAACAAAATATAACATTTGAATTATATACATTCTGAATTAAAATAGCAATACTGTAAGGAGTATATATATATATATATATAGGCATATTCAATCATTCTATGTTCTAGTTCTGTACTAGTTTTCAAGTTTTACAATATTTTGTATGGATGTTTCTCATTTAGTCATAGATATAGTACTGTCTGAATACAATATTAAACAGTTAGTTGATAAAAATTAGTTGAATATTCGGTATTAGTTGAACTCAAAACAACTATCAACTAACACTAAAGTCAGAATTTTGAATATTTTAGTCAAGACAGTTCTACTGTATGGAGCGGAAACTTGGAGAACTACCAAAGCTATTCATGCAGAAAGATGCAAGTACTTAATAACAGCTATCTACGCAAAACAATTAGGATCCGTTGACCAGACACTATCCCCATCATCCTTCTGTGGGAGAGAACAAACCAGATTCTAGTGGAGGAGGAAATCAGAAAGAAGCGGTGGAAGTGGATAGGACACACATTACGAAAAGCACCTAACTGCGTCGCAAGACAAGCCCTCACTTGAAACCTTCACGGTAAAAGGAAAAGAGGAAGGCCGCGAAACACATTACGCCGAGAAATAGAGAAAGATATGAGAAGAATGAACAAAAACTGGACAGAACTGGAAAGAGTGGCACAGGACAGAGTAGGTTGGAGCGTACTGATCGGTGGCTTATGCTCCATTGTAAGTAACAGGCGTAAGTAAGTATTAGTGTGATATAACATCCGACTGACAGTTCAATTAATCTACAGTATACACAATCGCAATTTTATTTACATCTTAAGTAATTGATTATCCTTATATATTTTCGTCAAGTTATACACACAAGATTTTTCATGCCAATTAAGCTTGTGTACAACTTACCAGTGAATGCTGTACTTTGCTTTGTCACTTGTACAGAACGCGTTGTGTCAGGTATGTCTATGAGATGAAAGAAATGTTTTAAACATGTAGAAGGACCAATTGTCTCTGAAATCATTTGAAAATTAAATAGTCTAGCTAATATAACTAGTATTTATACCGTACACTGTTAGGTTTTAGTGAACTACTACCGATCACTTCAAAAACAAATATTCGTTATGAAAAGAAACTTTTGTCTGAGTATTAAATGTACTGATAAGATCGTACTATATTTAAGGCAATTATGATTTTATTAACAGACCTTTTCTATGTTTTGAAAAGCAATAAAACCCAAAGATTACGAAATTAGAGTTTCTCATGTTGACTGGAAGCATTTTCTCTTACGTTAATTTCAAACATATATTCTGTACGAATGGTTAAAGCTATTAAACATATATATCTCCCTCTTTTTGATGAAGATTAATTGCTTAACAAATATTATTTTTGCAAACTGTCAATAAATAATAATTTGTTTCCTACAAAATCAATATGTTTGACAGTGAACATTACTTCCAACAAACACTTGTAATTCTTAATGAAAATAAATCACCTTCTGAATGTTTTTTTTTTTGAATTCTGTTCAAAATCACGTAATTTTAATGTTTCATAATCTGTGTATTTGGAATTACGTGACAGAATACTAGTTTTTTTTTTTTTTGAAAAGATATTGCGTAGTATTAACAAAATTGTTCACTTATTGCTAAACTACGTTTCTTAACGTTTACTTATAGTTCTACAGCTTTGTTGGAGATAAAGTTAAAGAAGTTAGAAGATAGAAATGGGGAAAAAGAGAAATATTTGACTCATGAGATACTTGAATATGTGCTACACTGTTGTTATGAACGCTAAAACTACTTTTTGGTTGCATAAACCGATGTAATGAGAAGTTCAAATGCTGAACATGAACTCCCTAACTACTTAGCTATAGGTCTAATCAATCAACCTAGTATTTTAAATCAAACTTCAAATTATATGACGATTGGACATTTTAAATAATGTTCTTTAAAAAAAAAACGCGCTCTTTCAAACTTTATAAGATTGTCATTGTGTTACGTTACTTAAAAAAAATTGTTATTGAACCAATAATTTTAACTTTTATGACAAATTCAAAAGTTTTAGGTTCCTTGAATGACAAGTCTTTGATGACTGATCATAGATTTATTCTAGAAGCATTTGACTATCTATAAAACTGATCAACGTCACTAAATGATCGCGTAAGTATTATTGTGTAGTACATAGTTTCTTGAACTTTATGAATTGGGTAGCTTTTTACTTTTTGATAAATAGTTAGTTTTACCTGCTGATGTTTTAGGAACAATGATACAAAAAAGTAAAAGAACAATACACAATAAGAAGGATTAATTCAAACATAATCAAGTATCTTTATTTTGTCGCTGATCTAATAATTACGCTCATGTAGTAAGTAGTATTGAAATTGTAGTAGTATTCAAATCATCAATCAGTCATTGTGAAAACCGCCATTGGAAACCTGGAAGCACTGGATTGCCGTCAAGTCTTGGTATGGGACTTATCAGTGGCAGTGCGCATCCACAACTCCTGCACCTCTCAGGATTAGAACCCGGGAGCTTTGATCTGAACCTCTGAACCACTAGTCGGATATCCGAGGATGTTTATGTCTATCTGTGATCAATCTACAGATTTTGCGTGACCTTACTGTTAGGATATTCAACAAATATCCTACGAAGAAACATTTTGTAAGCATAAATTCTGTTAGTCGATTCCTATTGGTCAACATCATGGTCTTCCTAGCTATCAGTGTCACGTACTTCAAATGTTGTTTCGTATTGGTCGCCTTAACTGTCAATGTTACAGATGTCGATTCTGTTTTTTATTCTACCTAAATGTATAATAAACACGCATTATCTGTAACGTTTTATGACCCGGATACAGACCCGAATCCCTAATCCGAGATCCTGATTATCTTCCGAACTCCGATCACGTACTTTTTGGATGCTTGTAGAATACAGGTTTTATTTCATATCAAGTCTTCTTCTTTTACTCAATGGAGGGTTGGAACACTTTGATTAGAGTACCATGTCGTGTCGCCGGATACTCGATCCTCACTCTCGTTTTCCGACTACGGTAAATTCGTAATAGTTCAAGCTTATCAAATGACATGTTTACGTGCATGCGAAACACTCACCTATTTGTCTTTGGCAGTTACTGCCTATACCTGACAGGGTTGAACTCCACTGGTTACGTCTTCTCACTGGAACTCCTAGAATTTCCTCATAAAGCTAGTCACTAGTGAGCGCATTTTACGATTTTGCAATTAGAGTTATAGAGATCAGTGTTTTTTGTACGGTGAAATCATCAATCCTACGAGGTGCAGGAGTCATGGATGCACATTGCTGATTAGCTAGTCCCATACCAGGACGAAACGACCGTCCATTACTTCCAGGTTTCTAATAGTGGTCTAACTATGACTGACGGATGATTTCAATGTGCAACAAACACTTATCTCCATAACTCTAATTGAAATATCCATTTCTTGTTTTACTTCTGCTGATTTCGGTAAATCGTTAAAAACAATCCACTTTAAAAAATAATGAACAAATTTCAACATATAACAAACACAAACTTAATTAATAACACCTTACCAATAATTTCAATGTAGATTTTATCATAAACAAAATCAATTTTCGATGGATTATATGTTACAGATGATATATTCGGAGGATAAGATAGAAATGATGCTCTGCTGTATTCATTCATTTGATGAATATTAGGATAATTTGACAATGTTGATGTCGATGATGATGTTAGCTTGGCAGAAGTTAAATTTCTTGTTGGATTTGTTGATCTTTCTAAACAAATCCATTGACCAGCTTCAGCTTCTGTAGCCCATGCAATGAATAATCTACTTTCTAATAAATGTGAATCTAACCATTGCATTGTAATATATACACCACCTGAACGGAATGGATGTGATAATCGACGTATTCCACGATGATACCATTCTAATGAAATAGTTGGATCAAGTTTCGCTTCAGATGATGGAAAACTAGCACGACATATTAATTCTAATGGTGTACCGTAGAATACTAGATTTGGTCCAGTCACAGTTATCGCTGTAAATTCACATAAACACAATAAAGAGAAGACAGGCATAAGAAATCAAAAATTATTCTATGATATACAAATATATTATCTATCTATCTATCTATCTATCACTTTTATGACTATATCTTATTGTGAACGGAGCAGTAACAGTAGGTTTTGATTGAAAGGCGCAGTTTGTTTAAAATTTCTCTCTCTGTCTCTACAGCCTAAACAGTCAGAGATATAAGTCACAAAAGTTATTTACTACAGCTTAAAACATAGAGTGAGATAAATCTGTAGAAATGTAATTTCTGACTAGAGAGGAGGTCACTAATTCGTCTTTATTTATTCAGTTCTTGTTTGACCAAATCACAGAGTATATCGTCAAGAAATAAATTTGCGATATCAACGGTAATCGATGAAAATTGATTTAGTCATTGCCTCATATAACAAAAGCTAGTTTAAACCAAGAATACTTTCAAACATGTTGAACAAAATGTTTAGCTTGTAGTGTGCCGATTTACTGCGTGTTCTAAAGCTCGGTAATTAGCTCGTCTAGAAAATCGTTACTAACTAGTGTCTAATGGTTTATAAATCAGAAGGTGAACTCGTAGTGTTGAATACGTTTATTCGGGACACACCACAAAGCGAAGCGGAGAAGCAGTGAATAAAGCGGATGAAGCGAAGTGAATTAAAGAAGGCTGTTGAGCCAACTCCCAGGATTACAATGCGAACGAATGGGCGAAGGAAGCGAATGAACAGGCGAAGCGCGTTGGAGAAGGCTAATGAGCCAACTCCAAGAGATAAAGCGTGGCTAAGAATATCTAGTCAGACAAAAAATAAGACAGACATGGGATCAACGAAATAGGGATGCACACACATGAATAAAAGTGACACAAAAGCAAGCAAGAGAAGTCATGTGAGTTCATAGGGATATTAAGAGATTAACATTAAAGCGAAAAGGATGAGTAAGCATATGTATGTAAGCAATGTTCAGTCGTACTCGATCATAGAAACCGGACAATAATAAAAGCGGATGGTACCCGTAAGTTGTTACTATGCCAATGACTTGGTTGAATAATTTTAATCGAAAGGGCTTAACCAAGTTAGATGTAAACGAACTGAAATATATGTGGAGGCACTTTCAGCTTCTTTATCACGTAAGGTGTATTCATTTTTTCTCGTTAAAAATTCAGAAATGACAAAAAATAAGCTCTCATTATCTTAATTTTTTTTCTGATCACAGAAAAAAGATTCAACTTATTTTTAAGTAATAAATTAACATTTTAAGTTGTTGAAATTATTGAATTTTCTTAAATTTTCTATTCCCCCTAGAGGAATGAAAAATAAACTAAAGTTTGAATATTTTCGAGCAGAGTTTTTTTGAGGTTTGTGTTTTTACACATTTGAAATCATCAATCAATCATTGTTAGACCACCATTGGAAACCTGAAAGCACTGGACGGCCACTAAGTCCTGGTGTGGTAGTAGCTAATCAGTAGTGCTCATCCACGACTTCTGCACCTCGCAGGATTCGAATCCGGGACCTTCGGTATTGTGCGCAAACGCCTAACCAAGTTTGAATGTTATATTTTGGTCTCACTCACTAAAAACATTTGTGCATTCTACATTTCAAGCATATAAGGACGCATTATTTTATGATAAATTCTTCGAAAAATAACCATATGTATTTATGCAGTGTACCAACCAAATCACTCTTGATGTAGATGTCTTGGAGGACGTTAACACCTTTACATATCTTGGCAGCATCATCGACAATCAAGGTGGATCCAATGCAGATGTGAGGACGCGGATTGGCAAAGCAAGGACAACATTTCTACAATTGAAAAATATCTGCGACTCCAAACAAATATCGATCAACACCATAATCAGGATTTTCAATACAAATGTCAAGACAGTTCTACTGTATGGAGAGGAAACTTGGAGAACTACCAAAGCCATCATCCAGGAGATAAAAGTGTTTATTAACAGTTGTCTACACAAAATACTTCGTATTTGTTGACCAGACACATTCAGCAACAACCTACTGTGGGAGAGAACGAACCAGATTCCATTGGAGGAGGAAATCAGGAAGAAG